GGTCAGAGTGGCACGCCTCGCCCTCGGAGTCGGCAGATGACCTCCAACCACAAGGCGCGCTGATGCCTGTGCCAGGGTTTCAGTCTGACGGAGCGTTTACGCGGGAGGGCCTCGCTTGGTGGGCGCGTGACAGGGTCTGTCGGGCAGCCGCGGCCGGCGCGCCATCTGCCGCGCGATTGCGCGCGCGGCAACGTTCGCGCCGGCGGCGCCGCCTATCCCAAGGGATCCGCGCGACGACTGCGGCCGCGGACGCCGCTCTCCGGAAGCGCAGCGGCGGGGCCGGGCCTGGCCAGGCGAGGCCCCCCGCCACAGCCGCCCCCGGAACCGCCGCGCTGCGCGCCCGGGGCTGGCGGGGGAAGAGGGCGCGTGGGAGGTGCGGAAGTGGGCGCGTCTCTTCGGAGGAGGAAAAGGTGCCAATGCTTCTACCCTTCCCCCGTTTTTTTTTTTTGTTCCTCCTCGGAGGCACTCGTCGCCACCGCTGGATTCGCCTTGGAATCCTGGTCAGAGCGCGCCCTGGGAGAGGTCCAGGGAGTAGCGGTATCGGTGCCCTCTGGTTTCCCCATCTACCTCGCGGGCGCTTCCTCAGACTCAAACTGAACGTCGAGTGGGTCGAGGATGGGTGTCGGATCTGCGACCGGGAAGACGCTGGAAAAGAACCGCGCCGTGGTGAAGACGATCGACCCACACACCGCCAGTGCCGGAGATGGGGGCAAAGCGATGCCCCGCGAAGTTTTAGAGTCGAGGCCGACGAAGATACCGACGTTGGCAATTGGGTTGAGCTTGTCGGAACGATGGGTGTGGACATGGTAAAACGCCTTACGCCCAGAAGGGGGCTGAATGGTCATTCGCATTGTGCCGCGTGCCGTCAGGATTCTCCAATGCTTTCAAGATTGGTTTGGACTCGCAGCCGATGTTGGCGCGGAGAGTTTCGTTCAAGATGTTGTTGGCGGGCTCGAGGGCTTCATCCCGTTGGCGTTTCGGCGCAAATGCCTGTGGCGGTAGTGCGCGTGCGACTTCGAACAAGTCCTGAATGTGTTTTTTCGGCTATTGTGTGGGAGTGGAATCCACCAGTGCTCGCGCATCAGGCCAGTCTCGCGCAACCGCCGTTCGCGCGCCCCGTCGGAATGGAATCGCCAGAGGCGGCGCTGATCCTCCAACTGACGCGTAATCATTGCGTCGCGAAGGGTGCTGGACCGCTTGGTGGGCATGCCCACCGCGAAGCCGCGACGAGATGCCATGGCTTTTCAGTTGGTCATGGCATGTCCATGCGCGTTGCGATTGAGGCTTTCGGGGAGTGGTCCCGCAAGTTTGGCCGAGATTCTCCCCCCCGATGGCTCCGGGAGTGATCTTGCGGGCAGGCCGTGCGCGAAGTTTGACAGAGATGCGGATCTCGCATTCTGGGTGGTCATCTGTGTGCCCCCTACGGTAGTGGTCCAAAACGGCACTGTCTGGGGTCGGGGGCTCCGGCTCGGTGGGCGACAACTCTAGAAACAACATGAAAACAACGCTAGTTGGTCTTTGCTGTGGGCGTGCAGTCGTTCTAGCCAGGAAGCCGGCGCTGCGACGATGACCGGGGAGTCTTCGCAGGCAGCGAAGCTAGAGTACGTGTCGAAAGCGCTTGGCTGAGGCAACTCCTGACGGGGCGTCCTGGGGCCAGCGCAGGGGAAGACGCCGCTGAAGCCGCCGTGGCAGCCGCCAGATGGCGCGCGGACAGGCGCGGGAAGCGGTTCGGATTCAGCTGGGCGGGGCTCCTCGCCGCGACCGTCACTGGAAGCGTCGGGCGACGCATGGGCAGGCTTCCATGATGTCCAGATCCGGCCGCGACCACCACCGACGCTGCCGATTGACGTGTATGCATGCCAGGATGGAGATGATGACGGTTGCCCATGCAATCGCACGGCTTTTTCGTCCCCGACCTCCTGGTCGGCCATTGTCCTGGCATTTTCTTCAAAATCGGGTTTGGAAAGCAGGGTGTTGTGCCAACATACCAGTTACTGTGCCGTGCTCACTTGTGCATGTCCCCCGTTGGTGTCCCCCGTTGGCGATGGCAGCGCCGCTCCTGCCCTGCATTGTCGATATTCCCACCCCCAATCGGTGAGTAGGATGATGGAGAGGAGACTAGAGGTAGGAGTAGCGCACACTAGGCATTCACGTAGTAGCACACCATCACACACTATATCACCCTGATCGGTCGCGATCGTCTCGCAGTTTGCTGTCGCTGGGAGGATCGGTTGTGGTAGCGGGCGCATTTCTGTTGCGTGGCAGGAATCCCGTCCTTGCAAGATGTGTCGCTCAGTGCGCGAGGTCTGCAATTATGCGCCCCGAGGGTGAACGCAGGGGCGGGGATGCGCGTTACTTGTCCAGAGAGTCGTTGCATGAATTCTTTGGTCAGCTAGTACTCGGTTTTCTGCTGGTCCATGAATCGCTGGGCCATGGCCTTGAGGTCATGGGACGTGGCCTCGTGGTTTGGTCCTGTCGTGGGGATGCGCTGCATGGCTTCTCCCGGAAAATTGCCCGGCGCCTGGCAGTCCACGTTCCGATAGGCTGGCTGCTCAGGCGCGAGCGCGCCGACGCCGACGCGCGCCTTTTGCCTTGCTTCGTAACCTGGCGGGGGGAGGTGCCCAGCAGCTGCCGGCGGGGCGCCGACGAAGCTGCTCGAGCCGCCGCCCGAGCCCCATGCTTGTTGAGAACCCGGACGCGCCGGGTACCCCAGAAACAGCCAGGTTCGCGCCGCCGAAGCTGCTCGAGCCGCCGCCCGAGCCCCATCCTTGTTGAAAACCGGGATGCGCCGAGTGCCCCAGCAGCAGCCAGGGGGGCGCCGCCGAAGCTGCTCGAGCCGCTGCCCGAGCCCTGTCTTTGTCGAAAACACGGAGACGCCGCGTGCCCAGCAGAAACCGGGGGGGGGCCGCCCGAGCAGCTTGAGCCGCGGCTCAGGCCGTATTTTCTTCTGAATCCCGTTTCGCGGGGCTTGGCGTCGACTTTGCCTTTTTTCCCTCCGCGGGCATTGCTTTGCTCAGTGGCCATGTTGGAGACGCGACGTGCAGGTGTCGCGGGGCACAGTTTGCGTGTGCGTTGGTGTCCGGGGGAAAGCCCAACTTGGCCGGCCAGGTCGTGCCGCCGTGAGAGAAGCGGCAACCCTGGACGAACCTATCAGCTGTCAGGAAGACTGAGCTCGGGGCCCAGCTGCTCTCCTCTTGGTTGTCTTTCTCTTTGTTCTTACCCTTGCCTTCTCCAGGTTTGCCCGCGCGGGGCTGGACAGCGTTGGCGTTGGCACGGGGTGCCTCGCGGACGCTCGGCTCGCAGATGACCCACTCCACTTCCCTCTGGTCGGCCATCGTGAAGAAGGCGTCTGGGGTGTCAGGGTCTTTGAACTCGACCAGCTCCAAGGCGGTTTTTCCGGAGGCTCCGGTTTGTTGACCAGTTGCCGTAAGGACTGGAATGCCACGCGCGCAGCGCATGCTGCAGCGTGCTCTTACGTATCAATGACTGGCTCGGGTTCACTGCAGCGCCTGTGCAACGCAGCTGATTGAGCGGCACTTGAGTTCATGACAGCCTTAGTGAGCGCCGCCACCATCGCCACGTCGTCCGCGCGATCCGCACTGGACAAGTACATGTTCGTATCCTCATTGGCCTTGGTGCAGGGCTCGAAAGGCAAAGCGCGGCTAACTTTCAAAAAAGCGTGCTTCGTCGTGAACGCGGTCCAACGCCAGACGAGTGTGTGTGAGAGAGAGAGAGAGAGAGATGCCGTCCCGAACGGCCTCGGCGCGAGCTGCGAGTTTAGTCTGCTGCCAAGACCGCCACGGCAAGGGGCGCGAGCCTTCGCCCCGTGGGAGAGCAGGCATAATGTTCTTGCCGCCCCCACTGCTGCCCGGTCTCATCTCTGACAGTTTACGGGCCACTTCCGCCAAGGACTCGCTCATGCGGCACATCAGAAACGTGTTGACGTCCTGGTCGGTTGCGTTGTGCGCTGCGTTGCCTGCCTGTGCGTGTGGTCTGGCAATGTGCGGCCCGGCTGTTTGGGAGCTGGTTGGGTTCCCTAGATGCGGCTGTGCTGCTCTTCCCGCTGGGCGAGACACCTCGCCACGACCGTCCGAGGGGGCACGAGCCACTGGGGAATCCGAAGCGACAGGGATGCCCGTATATCCGCTGAAGTTTGTGGGGTGATATTTTCAAGATTCTCTGCATCGTCGCTTGGTCTCGGTCTCTTGGTCCCGTCGCGGGCCGGCCGGGCCAGAGGAGGTCCGATCGCGATCCGATCAACGCAACTAAGACCAAGAGGAATGCGAGGGGCTCATAATCTGGGGATGGGAGGAAGGATCTTTCCCTGGGTGTCTTGAGCCACCAGTGCTTCAGCTCTCGTCCCGCACTTCCCCCCTCCCCTTCTTTTCCTCCTTCTGCCTCTTCCTGGCCTCTTTCCCCTGGAGAGGGTTTTGTGTAGAGAGGCGCTGTTGATATTTGTTGATCCCCGTGCACCTCCCCGGCCTTTCCCGCGCCACCGCCAGTATCCGTTCGGAGTCCACGCGCTAGTCTCATATTCTCGAGAAGGCACCCCGACCAATTCTAAGGCATCCCCTCCTCATTGATTTGGTCAGGACCTTCTTCTTGTATCTGTCACGCTGTGCACCTTGTGTCCCCTGCCAGGCCCCCCGCGGCCAAATCCAACCAAACTGGCCGCAAGATGGAGAACGCATAATGGAAACATGATGTTTGGGGAGACTTCGTACGGTTTGGTAGCGAGAGCGAGCGTCGAAAGTTGCACTCGAGTTTGATTCGTAGGTCGGTCCTTCAAATCAGGGGTGCCCTTGTGTCCTGTGCAACGCTTCGCGTCCCATGTCCTCTGCATTCCTGGGACGTTGTGGCCCTCTCGCGTGTCCTCTCCAGTCAGACTCGACGGCATCCTCCCCCCATCTCGTTCCCTCCTGCTTCTCCCGCAGACGCTCCACGCCGCGAGCTCGCGGCGGCCAAGCCCGACGCGCGCCCCCTCCCCTTCCCCCTCTCAGGGCACTCGGGAGCACGACAGGGAGCCTGCCGTGCTAGAGGTGGGCGGCGCCCTGAGGAGGAGAAGGAGGAGGAGGAGGAGGAGGAGGAGGAGGAGGGGGAGGGGGAGGGGGAGGACGAGGAGGAGGAGGAGGAGGAGGAGGAGGAGAGGCCAGCAGCAGTCATGGTTGCTATCTTCCTGGGCTGCCAGGTATGTATGTTGCTATGTGCTGACAGGCTGCTGGTTGCCAGTTTGCATTGCGAATGACTAGCTGAATTGTTAACTTGCTGTAGTCTCATCTTCGCGGCCTGGTGCTCCACCACAAGGGGGTCCGGCGGATACCCCTGAAGTTTTGAATTCTACAAACTTGTGATGATGGAGGGTGATTCCACTTGAACATCGAATGCTCTTCTAAGGAGTCCGCACTTTGATGATCCTGACGCTTTACACTTCACCACCTACACGGGTATAGGGGGCTCAGTCGTGATCCCGATTCGCCGCTTCGGCACTGCGCATTTTCGGAGCTTCCGTTAGCCGTGGGACCAGCGCACGGACACCAGTGGGGCAGGACAATTGATTCTGAAGGAGTGGGGAGCAACCGCCAGAGACGGGGGAAATCTGAGACAGTCGGGTACATGGCTGGTTTTAAGGATAATCTTGCAGGCCTCGCGCGGCGCGCAATAGTTGTATCATCTAGTCCACTCGTCAGCTCCGGAAGCTATGGGTCGACGCTCGCGCGGCGATGCTCCGGCGTCAATCCGACGTAATTCCGACGTAATTCCGACGTAGTCCGACGTGAAACCGACGTAAATCCGACGTGGATCTGACGTAAGTCGGGTCTCAAGGTGCTGCGCGAGGCCTCCAGGATGTTCCCCATAAGGCTGGCCCAGGGAGTCGGATATCGGTGGCTCAGAACGATCGGGGACAGCCCAGCCCAAAGACATTGTCGGCGACGGGCAGAGTGAGCGTCAGGGCCCAGACAGGGCCACGGCCTCTCTTGGGAAGATTGGCGGGCGCGGAGTGCAACCCCCAGGGCCGGGGACAGTATTCTAGGCCTCCGAGATGGGGCCCGAGTGGATGGGGTCGGATGATCGCGCCGCATCGCCGATGTATTGATGATGCGGCCCGATGTGGAGCCCGTGCCTCCCCGCGCCGACGCCGCCGATGCATCACCGATGCATCGCCGATACATCGGCGATGCATTGGCGGTGCGGCGCGATCCGTGGACCCCATCTACTCGGACCCCATCCAGGATGCCTCCAACTATGGGACAGGGCTGGCCCACCGACATCGGCGGCGACGGATGACAAACACGAGGTCCCGGGACGGTCGGGGGTAGCGCCGGAGGAGGAGGAGGAGGAGGAGGAGGAGGAGGAGGGTGAGGAGGAGGAGGGGGAGGAGGAGGGGGAGGAGGAGGGGGAGGAGGAGGGGGAGGAGGAGGAGGAGGAGGGGGAGGAGGAGGAGGAGGAGGAGGAGGAGGAGGAGGAGGAGGGGGAGGAAGAGGAGGCCGAGACGGATGGTCACGGACGGCACGCGCCCGGCCAGGGACAGTCAGGGGCAGGGCAGGCCCAGGCTTCCTTCCCCTTGCCTCCCACGTCCCCCCCTGTGTGAGACGCGGATCGGGGGAGGACAGAACCCCCAATAGTGACACGTCGATTAGTGAATTGTCCGTTTTCGGTTCTCGAGAGGGCGCCGTGGCCGTTATTCTCCAGGCTTTCGCCCGCCAGGTTTGGGCCTCAGGTCGTTTTCACTAAACCACGTTTTACTAAAGGGAGGTCTGTCCATCCCCGAGCGGAGGCAGACCGGTTTGGATCCGAGATCGTCGGGCGACCTGCTCGCGGACCGTCACGTCTTGTCTCATGATGCTGCAACCCGCTTTAGCCCCTCGATCCCCGCAAGACATCTCGAGCGCCAGGAACGCACCGCAACGTGAGGTTTTTCACGCGTGGGGCCCTGGGAGGCGATACTCGTTCGACACTGTTTCGATACTCTTCTGGGTGCTCGGAATTAGTTCCGGAATGTGGTCCTCAAGTACAATGAGAGCAACATGAGTCTTGTCCAGTGGATCTCGTGTTGCAAACTCCTGAGGTGTTGGTGCCCTCCTCGCCCTTCTCCTTCCCCCCTCCCTCTTGGTGCCGCTGCCCTCGCCCTCCCTGCCTCGCCCCCCCCCCCCCCCCAGACACGAGATGGCCGCGCGAAGAGCCCCTGCGACGGAGGAGGAACATTAGGAGACAGGGAAGAAGGAGGAGGAGGAGGAGGAGGAGGAGGGGGAGTAGGAGGAGTAGGAGGAGGAGGAGGAAGAGGAGGAGGAGGAGGAGGAAGAGAAGGAAGAGGAGGAGGAGGAGGAGGAGGAGGAGGAGGAGGAAAATTCCCCCTAACCATCTTCAGTCCTTCTTCGCGCGCCCTCCTCGCCCTTTTTCCTCGGCCTCCTCCTCGCTGCCTTCCTCATCCTCATCCTCCTCCTCACTCCCCCCGCCACCTGTAGCCAGTCTGGCTCAAACCGTATCGGCTCAGGGCGGTTTGCGCGCCCCGCTCGGCCTTGCGCTCCCCCCGACCCGCTCCTCGGGTCTCCCTTCTCCCGCCTCGCCGCGGCCCGCCGCGGCCGCTTCTCTCCTTCTGTTTCTGTCTCCAACCATGGCGGGAGCGTCTGCGCCAGTGACGCCACCCAACTGTTCACAGCGTCCAGCCACTGTTCTCCCTGCGGCTGGCAGGTACATTTTGTTACATCAAAGTGCTCACGCCCCAACTCTCGAGCCTCCAGGACGTCTTTCGTCAGTGCTTCAAGAGTCACGCATGAGAGTTTGACTTGTTCAGGAGCCAGTCGACTATCCACGGTAACAACTTCGATCGAATGCAGCATGAGCTTGCGAGAGTGGCAGTGCGTCAGGAGGAACGTTCCGCAGTGATCAAGCGTGTCCAGGACCAGGCCACCCACCAGGCAACGATCGACACTGGTGCTAGGCTCGCGTTCATGTCTGAGGAGATCAAATCGCAGCTGAATGATCTAAAGGCTGTGCTATCGCCAGGCTCGTCGCCCCGTGCCGCTTCGGAGTTCGAGATCGTGGGAGGAGGTGAAGAAGCGGGACCGCGGACGATTCAGCATACTTCAAGTCCCGACCAAACCAGAGCCACTCGTCTCATCGTTCTCGGTTTTGAACATGCACTCTTCGAGGCCTCGCTAAAGGATGCACTTCGACCCATCGTTGCATAGTGCAGGCCCATAGGAAAGGAGCCGAGCCGATCGTGCGCGCGTGCTCGCTGGCGAGGAAGGTGACCCGTGACTTCTCATCCACCTTCGCGTGTTCAGCATTCTGCGGGACGAGCCAGAACATCGGGAAGATGGTGCCAGAAACTTATCGATGGCCTTGGTTGGGAGCTTCGGGTTCGTCGCGATCTGCCCGCCGCCCGTCGGAAACTTTTCAACTGCATTGGACAAGCCAGGATTATCATTGGCAAAGTCTTGGGTGAGTTCACTGTCGGGATCAGCGGTCTTGGAGGGAACATCTATTGTCTCCTCACCCCTGTGCACCCAATTGTAGTGGCGGAGGTCGCGAGCACTGGGAATTGTGAACCCGGTCTCCGGCTTGGTTCCAACGGCCAGACGATCTTCGGTGATGGCGCCCATGCGGGCGGCATCCAGGCTCTCTATGACAAAGGGCGCCTCTTTGTGTGAGGCGCCTAGCTGTCCTGGAGCTTGCTGCCCTGGGGCCCCGGGTACCCTGGCTGGCTTGTTTTTTTTCCGCTGTCCTCATGTCTTTTGTCTTCCTTCGGGGGGCTGTCTGGGGCGGGGCCCAAGATTTGCGTGCCCTCAGTTAGCCAGAGCGGGTCTCAGGTTGCCAAAGGTAGTTTTGATTTGAATTCGGGAAGTGAGTTCGCGCCTGGTGACCCCGCCTCGAGAACGAATGGGTTTGTCTCTCCTAGCTCTTCTCTCGCCGACGGCAATGGTAATACTCGCGCTCCTTTCTTTCCTCATGCTGCGTTCTCGCCGTTGTCGGCAAGTTTGGTGTGGTGTGTTTGATGCTATGTTTGATTCGTCTGCTGGCGGGGGCATTGTCGCGGTTTCGTCCGGTAGGCAGGCGCAGTTCGAATCTTGCACTTCTCGCGCGGTTGTCCCAGGGCGGATGAAGGGGCCGACTGGGGCTCTCCTGGTTCTGAATGTTCACGTGCCTACAACTTCGGACCCTGTTGGGATGCGTCTCAGGTGCCCCGTCCGTTCCTCGTGTGATGTGCGTCATGTCTGGGGGCTGGAATCCCATTGAGGTGCAGGGGGGCAGATTTAGGGCGGATGGGATTTGGTAAGCTGGAGAGTGGCAGATGCTTCTCCGCGTCGGAATGTGGGTCTTCAGCCTGGTCCGACCAGGAGGGGCGTCTTCGCGGGCGCGGTGCGTGGCGCGGCTCGTCTCGATCGCATCTCTACCTTCTCTCATCCCGTCCTGAATGATCTCTTGGTCACAGTCGACGCCGTCGGGCACGCTGTTGAGACCTGGGGCCCCCCTGGCCACGCCCCCTTTGTCGCCGCCACTCCGACCGGGGTCCCCGCCGCCTCGCCCGCCCAGATTCCCATCGGATTTTCCCAGCGCGGGTTCTGCCGTAGTGCGATCCAGGAGGTTCATCGGGGGCCCTGCCAGGGATTGACTTGCTCGGGTCAATGAGTTCTTCTGGCAGATGGCCCCGACGGTCGAGCCGCGTTTGCGTCTTCGGCTCCCGAAGTCTCAATGTGCGAGGTTGCAGTTCGCTCTGTTAGCGCATGGGAGATGGCAGATTGGGGCCCTTCTCGCTGCGCGTCACGGCTGCGAGGGCCTGCCCCCGGTTGCTCTGGCATCTTGAACGTGGGCGGGGACGTTGCTCGGATGTTGTTTGCTTGGGGGGCGCTGATACAGGCCTTGAACAACTCTTGGCGCGAGAAAGTGGGGCGGGGCTTGGGCGGGCGCGGTGGCGGCGGCGGCGGCGGCGGCGGCGGTGGCGGTGGTGGTGGGGGGGGGGGCGAGGCGAAGAGCACGGCGGGAGGATGGCGCGGATCCAAACACATCCGGAGAGCTTGGGCTAGTATGCGTAGGCGATGCGGGCTCTCTGCAATTCTAAGCACCGGCGGCCATGTCTGCCCGCCCCCGACGCGTCGGCTGCTGCCTTCGAACCATGTTGGGGGCGAGTTTCGCGCGTCAGGCACCCCATCGTCCATTCTAGTTTGAGCTCCTGGTGTATGTGCAGACCAGTTGCGTCGATTTGCCTCCTGACGATTAAACGCCGTTTCCTTTGTTGAATGTGTTTGACATAACGCCACTCTGCCCCGGGGAGAGGGGCGGGGTTCCTGATGCTTGTTGGAGGGCAGGATTAGCTGCTGATAGTCTGTTTGAATATATTCTGAGATGCACGATGCTTCCGAAGCTTCCGGAGGGGCTGTCTCTGCGGGCGCGGGGAGGGGGGGCCGCGCGCGTTGCCGACCGCGAGACCCGAAGAGGGGCCCCGCGGAATTGTTTGCGCCCTCCTGACTCTGACTCCGGCGAATGCTGGTGCGACTATTCGGGGCGACGCTTTCTCGATTGGTTCGCAGGGGGCCGCGCGGGGCGCGACCGACCCCGTCCAGCGAGGAGGCAATCCCGGGAGGGGGGTGCTGGACAACGTTTTCGGCATCGAATGGTGGGGGCCCCGACAGTCGTTGACAGGCGGGGGGCGCTTTGGGATTCTCCTCTCTGTTTTCAAGGCCGCCCCCCTTGTGAAGCACGGCGTGGCCCCTTAGAGTTCTCTCAGCGACGCGCGTTTCAGATCGAGCCCGCGGTTTCTATGGGAACGGAGCAGGGGCAACGTTGCAGTAATTGACTTCCTCGATGCATCGGCAGTGGAGTATGTGGTTGCGGGAAGGATTCGACAGGGGGATCCCGCTTCGATTTTGTCTTTTATGCGTATGTTTTGGGCTCTGTCTTGAGATGGATGAGGGTGAATCTAGCGGGGCACGCCCCGCGGCTGCGAGCCTGCGCCGACGTTATTTGCTTCTGTCTCTCCAACGTCCACTTTCCCTTGCAGCCGACCTTGCGGCGCTGCTTTTTCGAGAGGGCGGCCGGCCCTGGTCCGGGCCTTCGTGCGAGGTCCTGGCCGCGGGGGCGTTGGGGCCAGAGCAGCTCGCAGATCACTCGTGGCGGAACAGTTTTGCCCAGGTCATTGGTTTTGCCCATGCGCTCCTGCGCCTTGCGTTCTTGCTGGGGCCTGGCGGCGCGGCGTCGAAGGATCGGCGCGGCGCGGCCCCGAAGTTCTGGGTGGCGGCGCGGAGGCTCCGAGGGCTTGTGCTCGGGATCCCGCAGACGGTCGGACTCCTCCACTCGCGCTGTATGTCGATCCTGGCGCGCCAGCTGCAGTGGTGCCCAATGACGAAGCAGTTGCGGAAAGCATAGAACGAAGCGTAGAATGAATCACAGCCGGCCCTCGTCATGCCTTCTCAAGAGAACGGTAGACTGGGCTTCGGGCGTTGGAGCTTCCCTGGGAGTTTGGGATATTGCTTGGTTCTCGACGGCCATTAAGTTTCGGGTCTTGATGTCGTGTCCGAGTCCGAATGACGTCAAGTATGCTATTGAGGCTAGAACGGTCTCTCTCGAAGACGAATGTGCCATTCCCGCGCGGACCTGCTTGGCTTGGTGGAGGCAGTCTTGGGTCCGGACGTGGGTGGGCGAAGTGGGCGGCCACTCGGTAGCCGCGCTCGCGCCGCCCCAGCAAACAGCTTCAGAAGAAGCGTTGGAGCGGTTGAAAACCCTCCGCGGCCCCGCGGCGCCTCTCCGCACCCTCGCCTGGAGAGTGCCCAAGCGGGCGGGGCCCGACCGCTCGTCGGTTGCCGATTTCCAGCGCTGGCCAGGGGGGGCGGCAAGTAGAGAAAGACATCGCGATGCACCTTGTGACAGGCGTCCTCAAAGCGCCATGTTGGGGGGCGCGCGCGTCGAGCCGTCTTCGTGCCATTCTGCTAGGTTGCGCCTGGAGATGCGCGGGGGGGGGGGGGGGCCTGCTGATGACGACGTTCGGCGTTCTGGTTTGTGCCCGAACATCAACTGTTGCCTCGTCGCATCTTTCCCCCGCGGCGATTTCTTTGCGTCGTGGGCCAAGCTGTTAGATGGCGAGGGGTGGCATGTCGCACTGTGTTGTATGGGGCCACATGGGGGGGTTTCTCGTGACCTTGTAGGGCGTGCTCTGATTGGCTGGCTTCTGGCTGCCCGCAAAGGCCGTCGGGCGGGCCCCCAAGTGCCCGTGGACTTCCTTGTCGAGGCGCAGTTGAGGCAACTGTTTCGCCGCTGCCCCAAACTGCTTGAAGCGCTTCGGTCGCTCCGTTTGATTTCCGCTGCCCCGCCCCCCTTCCCCGGCCCCCCCCCGCCGCGCCCCCCTGATGGGTGGGCAGGGGGGGCCGCCCCCCCTCTTTAGTTCCCCGTTTTCCTGTTGCACCCTTCGTTCCCCTCCCATGCGGGCCCTGCTGCCGCGCGCCACTGAAAATGTTGGTGCCCCTTGTGGGTCTCCCAAGGTGGGCTGATTGTTGTCCGATGTACTTGGCGATGCTGGAATCTGGCCGTGAATCAATGTGGGCGCATGTTTCTTGGTTGCATCAGGGTCGGCCATGGTCTCCCGCATGCGGATGAGTGGCTTGCGGGTCCGCGGTTCCCCTGGTCTGCTCCTCCTGCTGCCCGCTCTTCTTTACTTGTTGTTGGTACTTGTCTCTCCCCTTCCTGTTTCCTGCTGCTTGCTGTCACTCCTCCTTGTTACCTTGCTTGCGTGCTTTCGTCTCCCGCGCGACCTGGGGTCTGAGGGGGGGGTCGGCCCGCCGCCTCTCTCGCCGCGCCCGCTCCGCGGGCCGCCCCGCCGCCCCGCCGCCCCGCCGCCTGCCTGCCGCCCCCTGCCGCGCGGGGCATGAGGTTCGGTTCCTGGGCCGACCCTTCGGCTCGGCGGCAGTCGGCCCTTCGGCGCGGGGAGTAGAGCGTGGCTTTGGCTGGCTAGCTGTCCTGGGCAGCTAGTATCCAGCGCGCGCGCCTGCAGGCGGCGAGCGGTGCCCGGGGCGCTCTGCCCCCGAAAGCTCTGCGCCGGCCCGCCCGCGCCAGGTCCCCAGCGAAGTTCGAGGCACCTGCGGCGCCCTGCCGCTGTCGTCTGCTCTTGGCCAGCCGCCCCGCGCTGGGTTCCCGACGTGGTCGGGGGCTGTTGTTTCGCTGAGTACTTACCTCTGTTGTGCCTTTGCTTCTGTGGGTCGCGCAGGAGCCGCGATCCGCTCAAAACGTGACGGCCCGATTTTGATGGGGGCGCGCGCCCCCAGGGACAACGGACTCCTCGTGCAGAGTGCCCGCCGCTGCTCCTCTCTGCTTCTCTTGCTTCTCTTTGTTGATTTCCTCCTCTTCTCTGCGTTCGTGTCTGACCCGCTGACGCGGGCTGGCGTGTTGACTGAGTGTTCGCTCCCGCCGCTCGAGCCTGGCGGGATCGGCTCGCGCGCAGACGCTCTGTGGCCGAGTTTTCTTTTCCCGGCCATCCTGTGTTGAGTCGTGTCCTCGTTTCGACTCCGCAGCGCACCGCGTCCTCCTCGCGATGCCCCTTTCCGCGCCCCTGATTTTCGCATCTCGCCTTTCCCCACGCGTTCCCTCATGCGCAAGGAGGCCCCATGAGACGTCCACCGCCATCAGGATGAGGCTCACGCTACGCGTCGGCCGCGCTCCCCTGGCACCAGTGGTCGCCCAGGAACCCCCAGCCTGGCACGGCAAGCGCGCAGGGAGTCAGCACCCGTAGGGGCGGCCACTTGGGGAGCTCCTTCGCGGCGACGGTCACGGTGACGGGCAGCCGCGCTGCGGTCGAGCCGGCGCCCGTGCGGGCCGTGCCGCGGACCGACGACCACCGGCGCGCCTGCGCCGTGCACGCGCTCCAGGAATCCCAAGCCGGGCGCCAACAGGATCGGCGCGCCCAGGATCGGCGGCGGCTCGGCGCAACGACTGCGCGGCGCCCAGAGCGTAAACCACACGCCAGCTACCAGCAGCGCCGCGGCCGCAAGGAACAGCGGCATTTCGCCGCGGCAGGTCGATGCGGTTCAGGCGATCCCCCCACCGCCCGCTGGGCCGCAGGTGTTTTGCGCATCCGAGGTTTTGCGGGCAGTGCCACCGCAGTTCCTCGCCCTCCGCATGCAGCCAAACCGCCGAGCACAGTCACGGCGTGCCAGCGCCGACCATCCCGCGGCTGAAGGGAGTTGCGACGACGCCGGCGTCGAGAACAACAACGACCACGACGATGAAGGGGACGACCCAGCCAACAATGCTCTCCTCCTCCTCCCCTTCCTCCTCCTCCTCCTCCTCCTCCTCCTCCTCATCCTCCTCCTCCTCCTTTTCCTCCTCCTCCTCCTCCTCATCCTCCTCCTCCTCTTCTTCCCCCTTCTCTTCCCTTTGTTCCTCCTCCTCCCCCATCCTTTGCTTTCTCTCTCTCCGTTCCCTCTTCCCATAGCTTCTCCCTGCCCATTTTTCCCCACGCTTCTCCCCTGAGGTGGCCCCCGGCGTGCTCTGCAGCTGCGAGCGCGAGGAGTGCTCGGACGAACCTGAAGGTGGCCCTTGGCTCCGCGCCCGCCTGGGTCAAAACGAAACAGGCCGTGGTCTGGAGACAACAATGATAGAAACGCTGCCGGGCTGTAGGTGCCCCCCATCCCCTCGTTAGGGATTTAATGGCAGATCGATTCGTGGTTTTCGAGTGACCGACCGACGTCCTCCCCCGCACCCCCTAGCAGGAACCCCGGAAATAACCACCACACACGAGTCTTTAAACTTTCCGACCGAAAAACATGTTTTTTTGTTCCCCAAGTTTCGTGTGTGCTGGTTTTCGTTTTGAGCAGAGAACTGTGGCCTCCACCTCTCTCCCACCTGTCTCCTCCTGCCTCGTCTTCCCAACCCGCCCGGTTTGGGTTCTCGTCTGCATAGGGCACTGTGGTCCCCTCCTCCTCCTCTCCCGCCTCCCTCCTCCCCTGAACCTCCCGCGCTGCTCCCGGGAGGGCTGCGATCTGGCCAACCGTCGCCATTCCCGCGGGCTCCTGGGGGGCACGGCGCAGGTCAGGACCGCGCAGATCCGTTGGAGACTTCGCGGCTCCCTTCGGGGGCTGCGAGCCGCGCAACTGCCGCCGCTTCCGTGGGTTCCAGAGGGGGCACGGCGGAGGTGCAGGGCGGCGCGGGTCCGTTTGAGGCCCCGCGGTTCCCTCGGGGGGCTGCGAACTGCGAAGCCATCGCCGCTCTCGTGGGGAGGCGCGGCGGAGGTGCGGCTCTTCGGACGTGACGAGCTCTTCCGCACACGGCGTTCACATGAGGAGCCCGCCTCGCGTGTAGTAGGGGTTGGGCACCACGTCTTGGGTAGTTTGTTTCCTCTCCGATATTCTGCCTCCTCCTACCGCCCCTGCGCTGCCAATTTCTCGCGCGCCTATCCCGCTCCTGGTCCTGTCTGGCCTCCTCCTTCTCCTCGTCCTCCGCCTCCTCCTCCGCCTCCTCCTCCTCCTGCTCCCCCTCCTCCTCCTCCTCCTCCTCCTCCTCCTCGTCCTCTTCCTCCCCTTTTTCTGTTTCCTCCCTCTCCTCCTCCTGCTCCTTCTTCTCCTCCTTCTTCTTCATGTTTCATCATGCTTATGATTATCATTATTATGACTAGTATTATTGTTATTCTCACTTCGTTATTTTGTTTGCTATGGTTGTTGTTATTCTTGACGCTTCGCGTATCCCCACCAGCCCATCCAGTAACGATGCCCAGGCGAATGGAGGTGATCAGGGAAGTGAGGGAGCATACAGAGTAACAAAGGGCTGGGGAACCCGTCTTGCCCAAGACGGCGAGCATGGAGGAGGAATCGGAGGAGGAGGAGGTGGAGGAGGAACTGAAGGAGGAGGAGGGGGAGCGGGAGGAGGGAGGAGGGAGGAGGAGCAATAGGCGGATGAGGAGGAGGAGGAGCAGGACGAGAATGAGGAGGAGGATGAGGAGAAGGGCGAGCAGAATGGCCAGAGGCCTCTTGTTTGCCTCTCGGAGTCTCTTCGGATGTCTCTTGGGAGCGTCCTGAAGGCCTCTTAGGGCGTCTTGGGAGCGTCTTGGCGGTCCCGGAGGCCTCTTGGGGCGTCTTGGGTGCCTCGGGGAGCCTCTTGGGGACCTCTTGGGGCCATCTTGGGGCCATCTTGGGGCCTCTTGGGGCCATCTTGGAGGCGATCGATCAAAGAAGAGGGTGGGGTTCCCCGCCCCTCTAGATCCTCTAAAATCGCCTCTTGGGCTCATCTTGAGGCGCTCTTGGAGCGCTCTTGGGCGCTCTTGGGGCCGTCTTGAGGCTCTCTTGGGCCCCTCTTGGGGCTATCTTGGGCCCTCTTGGAACCATCTTGAGGCCTCGGAAGGCCATCGGAAGCGAAAAGGCGAGAAAGCAACATTCATTGGTTTTATAGGTTTTTGAATGATTTTGGCCTCTTGGGGGGTCTCCTTGGAAGTCTCGGAGGCCTCTTGGAGTCGTCTTGGGGCGATCTTGGGGCCTCTTGGAGCATCTGGGGAGCCATCTTGAGGCATCTTGGGCTATCTCGAGGCATCTTGGAGGTCATCTTGGCCTCTCCGAGGCCCTCTTGGAGCCGTCTTGTGCCATCTTGGACGCTCCAACGCGTCGTGGACCCCCCCGTCCAGGTCCAGGGGAGGGGGTTAGGGGGAGGGGTAAACCCCTCCCCGAAGGGGAAGGAGGGAAGATGGAAGACGAAACTCCCTAAACCACCTACGCCCAGAGGGCTGGTGCGATTATTATGAATCTTGCTATTATTGTTTTCCATGTGTATGAATACTATTTGTACATTTTTTATTTATATTAGTATGATTATTATTACTATTATTATTATTATGACTCTTATTATGATTATTCGTATTACTATTATTGTTGTTGTTGGTATTATTAATAGTATTAGCATTCTTTTTTTTCTTTTTTTTTTGTTGTTGTTGTTGTATTCTCATTTCGGAAGAATAATTATTTTCGATCCCCCCCACTGGTGCATACTGTTCTTTCTCAATCAATGTGTGCCCCTCGACGCTCGCACCCTGTTTCTTGACAAGGAAAGTCTTGATGCTCAAACTAGGCCCCTGGCCCCCGGGTTACAACAACAACGGCTCCCGCTTTAGACTTCCTTACAACTTAGCCAGGACCCCCGCTCCCGCCCGAGACTTCCTCGCATTGTATTCAGGAATCGCGCTCTCGCTTGGGACTTCCTTACAATTTATTCAGGAATCGCTCTCCCGGCGCTCTGGAGTCGCGCTCTCGCTGGAGACTTGCTTGCAACTTACTGAAGAATAGCCTTGCGTTGGAATTTCTTGCAATTTGCCCAAGCGCCGCGCTCCCAACACCCAGGCACCCAGGAGTCGCGCCCGCTGTGGCCCCATGTGCATGCCCTTCGTGGCCCCGCTGTCGCCATTTGTGTCCCCCTCACTGTCCTACGTGGCCCAGTTGCTACCCTCAGTGGCCCCATAGTTGCCTTCTGTGGCCCCGCATTATCTGCACTTCGTGGCCCCCGCTCGTTCGCGCTCTTCGTGGCCCCATACGCATTCCCTTCGTGTCCCCGCTGTCGCCCTTCGTGGCCTACTTCGTGCCCTTCGTGGCCCTGCTGTCGTTCTCTCTCGCTCTCGCTTTCGCTCGTCGTCGCCGTCGTCGTCGTCGTCGCCGTCGTCGTCGTCGTCGTCGTCGTCGTCGTGGTCGGTCCCCTGTCCGTCCCTCTTGGGGTCGGGTCGACGGTCCGCGGCCGCCCCGCCGATCAGCGCTGCCGCTGGCCAGGCCGACGGTCCGCGGCCGCCCCGCCGCTTGCCGGGGCCCGGGCTGCAGGGAAGAAAGGTATACCCCCCAAAAGGGGTTCGATCGAAGACGAAGAGGGCGGGTTTTGAGGGTTTGGGAAACACGCGTTATTGGACACTCGAGCATATAAGGGCGAACAGTCTTAAACTTATTCTTATTATTATTATTACTATTATTATTATTATTGTTGTTGTTGTTGTTGCTGTTGTTGTTGTTGTTGTTGTTGTTGCTGTGTTTATCATTATTGTTCGTATTATTATTATTGCTATCCGTAGTATTCGTAATATTTTTCCCCCCGTAGTATTATTATTATTATTATCATTGGCTGACGCCGCACCGCCGACCCCTTAGGGCGGCAGTAAGAGTGAAAAACGGAGTTTGCGGAACGCGCACGATTTCTGGGGAATCTTGGGGTTTCAGCTCCTTGGGATTTCGCCGGGGGGGGGGTGGCGGATCGCGGCTCTGCTCTTGGCTTCTCCGGGCTCTCCTGGTAGTACTTTTGAAGCCTCTTGGGAGCCGTGTTGAGGCCTCTAGGGGTCTCCTTGGGGCCTCTCGGGGGCCTCGTGGGAGCCTCTTGGGGGTTTCTTGGCGCCTCGTCAGGTTTTTCCCGGGCCGAGTGCTCGAAATGTTCATTCGGGTTCCCCCTCTGGGCGGCCTCCTCTTGGGGCCGCCCTGGGGACGTCCTGGGCCGTTTTAGAGGCTTCTGGGGCCGTCTTGGGACCCTCGTAGGCCGTCTTGGAGCCCTCTTGGGGGCCTCCTGGGCTATCGTGGGTCGATGTTGAAGGCCTCTTGGGCCTTTGTGGGCCTCGTGAAAGCTGAAGAGGCGAATTTACTAAAAACATACGCTTCTTTTAGAGAGTGGGCCGATTTTTGCTTCTGGATGGCCTCTTGGGACGCCTGTTGGTGGCTTCTTGGGGCGTCTTGGGGTCCTCTGGGGCCGTCTGGAGGCAATATTGGGCGTCTTGGAGCGATCTGTCGGCGACTCGTAGCCCTCTTGGACCGTCTTGGGGGCTTTTGGGGGTCCTCTTGGCTCGTTTTGGAGCCCCCTGCGGCTCCAAGGGTGCGGCCGGCACTTTCCCCCCCCCCCCCCGCCCTTCCAAACCGGCCGGGCCAGGCTCCCGGGGGAGGGGTTTGGGTTGGGGGAAGCATCTCACACGCCGTGACCCCAAGGGGTCGGCGGATTTTGTTGTTTTTTTTTTTTGTTGTTGTTGTTGTTTCATTCCTTTTTCATTCTTGTTATTCATACTATTATTATTTTTGATATGCTGATGCTGATTATTATTATTACTAGCACTAGTATCATCATTATTAGTAAATTATTTGTATTACTACTACTATCATTATTATTGTTATTATTATTATTAATATTATTACTATTATCATTATTATTATTATCATCATTATTATTATTATCATTATTTTTATTCGTATCATTATTATTATTATTATTATTATTATTATTATTGTTTATGATTATTATTATTTTTATGATTGCATTGCTTCTTCTTCTCATTATTATTCCATCGCTTCGCTCACTCCGCCAGTCCGTATTGCATGATCGCTTCTGCTTCGGCGCGGGCTCGGGGCCATTTCGGCGCCGCTGGAAGGAGGAAGATGAGGATGGGGAGGGGGCGGGGCGGAGGAGAAGAGGATGAGAAGGAACGGAGGAGGATGATGATAAATATGAGGAGGAGGAGGAAGAGAAAAGGGCGGAGGAGGAAGCCTCTCGATGGCATCTTGCGGCGCTCTTGGGGCCAAACAGGGCCGTCGTC